CAATCTCATACACATGGAAAACCATTGTGGATTAAATGAATTGAAATTTCAATTTATACAATCATGTAGTCCTTTATTTTTTTTCATTTCAACCACAGTCTCAGGAAGGAAGGAAGTTTGTTTGAACTCAGCTTTTATTTTGATAAATCAAAGTGTAGCCTGCTCTTTTCCATGCTGCCTTATCACGGAGTTTGGATTTGCAATACCATTGTGAATGGTAACACACACTTCATTATTTTTTTTAAAAAAAGACTGAATTGTAGTGCTCTAGTATGTAAATATCTAATTATAAAAGCCATTACTAATAGCAGTTATGTGATGAATGCCGTGGAAACAGACCACAATGCTAATTATGGTGTTTTGATTTATAAATAAATAATTATAAAAGCCAGTACTAATTGTGGAATGGATGTTGTGCAAACATACCACTATGCTAATTATGCTGCAATAGCATTAAAATATAACTGGCAATAGCTTACTAGCACAAAGCAAAGGTTTCTTTTATCTGATCATTGTCTTGCTTACAGCTCTTCCCCCTGTCCCTCAAGGCCATTTCCTTAGTCCACTACATCCTCTACTTGGTATATGGGCAAAATTTTCTAATGATGATGGAAAATGAGAGAATGATGCAACATGCTGCAGAGTATGGATAAGACAAAATGACAAACCTTTGACAAACCAAGTTCTAATTCATGTGAAACTGTAACATTCACTGAAACACTTTTCCCTTTATCCTTCTATGGGTTTCTTCACTCTGGACTAAATACATGGTCTCCACGTCAGAACAGGGCCCTTATCTTAATGCCAATTATAGAAACCTGTTCTTAACATTATATTGGCTTCATCTTTGTCTAGTTTTAGATACCCTGAAAATGTATGTTTTAATTCAGTTATTTTGAAATATATCAGCTTGGAGATTCCTTTGAAAAGAAAAGCAATTTAGGACTTCCAGAGGAGGTATGGCAAATTGAAAACATCTTTGCGAAAGCAGAGCTGACAACCTCAGCAAAGACCAAAGAATCGGTGAGTAGACTGGTTCTTCAGAACCTCTCTGGATAAGGAGAGGATGGGAGAATGCCCACATGTGCTCTGGACAGCTACGCCTCATGAGTCCATAGGGCAGTGGGTTTCCATGGGTTTGAGTGCTGGGAGACAAATGGATTAGCCATCTTGCTCACAGCCGCCGCGGAGCATTTTAAAAAGTTCACAAACCTCACTTTCTAATTGCTTTTGAAAAACTGCCTATTAACAATCTTAAAACTATTACAGAACGTCAGAACAAGAAGCTTGAAAAGTCATTGGGTGAGTTTTATGTTCGACTCTGAACAAAAGAAAATTAATTATAAGTTTAAGAACTTAAAGAATTTGAAATAAACAGCAAAATGCTAAAAACGATTTTGATCTAAAAAAGTTATAAATGGATTAAGGGTCCAGATAAATTCGGAATATTGATTTTTACTATAAGATTTTGGAATTAATTATAACAAATAAATAGCTTCTCGTGGGAAACAGCCTTATTTCGGCTATCCTGGCTGTTGTAAGCCATAACAAAGATAAGTTACTTTATGATTTTAGAAACTGGACATTAGACGGGATTAAAAATTCTAAGCAGAAGGAAAAAAAAAATACAAGCCTGTTCTTGATGTCAGTTAATATTGAGACTTACAAAATGACACAAAACATTGTAACATCAGAAACATTAAAGGAGATCTTTGAACAATGGAGCCAGAAATTAGTAACTACAATATCAACACTGATGTCTGCTTCTATGAATGATGTCACAATGATGTCTGCTTCTATGGATATACTATGTTCAAAAGATGTTAATGAAGGAATGACAGATGCAGAACAAATTTTATCTGACAAGACAGAGAAAGTACTGAAAGTGGAACTACAAATGACAGGCCAAGAGAATGACTTGGAAAAGGATGCTTTGCCGGATATACAAAAGAAACTGGCTGAAGTTTTAAAAATTAAAAGGGAAATACAAATGATAAACCAAGAACTGATGTCTGCTTCTATGGATATACTATGTTCAAAAGATGTTAATGAAGGAATGACAGATGCAGAACAAATTTTATCTGACAAGACAGAGAAAGTACTGAAAGTGGAACTACAAATGACAGGCCAAGAGAATGACTTGGAAAAGGATGCTTTGCCGGATATACAAAAGAAACTGGCTGAAGTTTTAAAAATTAAAAGGGAAATACAAATGATAAACCAAGAACAGAGAAAGTACTGAAAGTGGAACTACAAATGACAGGCCAAGAGAATGACTTGGAAAAGGATGCTTTGCCGGATATACAAAAGAAACTGGCTGAAGTTTTAAAAATTAAAAGGGAAATACAAATGATAAACCAAGATAATGTTTTCTTATTGGATTTACAAAGGAGACTTGTCAAAGCCTTGAAGAAATGTGTGCGATTGGATAAAGAATTGAAGAGAAATCAGATCCTACGACAATATTTGATTGATTAAAGATTAAGACTGTTAGAAGTAAAAGGAAGGAATATAAAGTTGGCTTATTTGATCAACATTAAAATAAGACTTTTTTTGCAAAGTTCTGGCAACCCTTTATGGCCTGTAGCTGACACCAGCATTGAAAAATTGATGTTTTATGGATTTGCTTATAGATAAGGGATGGGATATGGAATGAAGAGATACCTGTTTATAGGGGGTGAAGAGTTACTAAATTTGTTTATACTTGTTGTGATGGTTGGAAGTCACTTCTTTAGATATTTCTTTTATTATGTTCTCTTTTATTTTTGTCTTTTTTCTTGCACTTTTTATTTTTTTTCTCTTCTCTTTCTCTAAGTTTAGTTTGTATTAGTTTTTACTAATTGTAATCAAAATTCTTAATAAAAATTATATTTAAAAAAAAAAGAAGAAAAGCAATTTATAGTTTAATGACGTGTTCAACCAACATATAAAATTAACGTCAATGGTATGTGAGTTACACAGCCAATGAACTGATGCTATTAATTCATGTTCTTGAATATAATCCAGAGATTATCAGTATCCACAGGCAATAAGCACTCTCTTTCATTTCAATTCCTCAAGTGTTCATAGATACACAATTACCTTTTTTCTTATCTCATTGTTTACCTAATGAATGCATATATTCACATGTCCTGTTTGAAAGTGCACAACATGAATTTGTGTATGTGTCACCATGTGGCTCTGCATCCTATTGGAATAAGTGGAGTCCCCCTTCCCATGACCACTCAGAGAAGCACAAAGTTTCATTTGGAAACATTATTTGCTATAACAAGATGGAGAATAAAAGCATTTCCCTTGCCATGATCTTGTTCAAAGCAAAATTAAGTTTGGCAACATGCCTTTAAAACTGTGAAGATTCCTATACTGTGCTGATCTATAGCCTGAGCTATTCCCCTGTCAAAAGTATACTCCAGAGATTTTTTGAAATTATAATCAGCATATGGCATAGGACCGAACTTCCCTGCACTGTAGGAAAAATTAAATAAGTACTTATTCATTATCTTCCCTTTTTTCAAAGTAGGACAGGAATGAAAATGTATGGAAATGCTAATTAATTAGTTAACAGTTTGGGGCAGTTAAAAATAATTACTTTTTCCTCCTAATTTCCTATTTTATATAACCAAATGTTTTCTTTGTACAGAAAAGAATTTCATTTTTATGAGGACCCACACTGAACTTTATCTTTTTTCCCCCAGTTAATGTTTAGGATCATCTGGTTTGCATTTAGCATTCTTATGAGTCATTCTACTTTGATAGGAACACTATGCTATAGAAAACTGCTTCTAATAATTTAACTTTTAAAATCAACCACTAGGATCATGGATTACCTAAGGAAACTACAGTTGGAGGGGAAAAATAGACCCCTGATGTTACATATTGTTGCCTTGTGAAATGAAGATCACTCATGGTAGATGTTTTTAATCCACGTGTGATCAAATTTTCCATCTTCTTCTGTAGCCTTCTTCAACCTGGTGCCCTCCAAACGTGTTGGCTAGCATTCTGGGATTAGGGGAGCTGAAATGACTCATCTCAAGAGCACCAGGTTGGGGATAGGTTGTTTTGCTGTTCATATCATTTCTCCAAGTTTACTTCTTATATTTTAGAATGGCTCCATAGAAAGATGAGTGATAAGATGCTGTGCATTCCCCTCCTGCTGACATATCTGGACTAAACAAAATTGTCATATTTGTCTATCTTCTTAGGTACTTTACTACATGCATTTCCTGAGAGTGAAATCATCTCTTAAAAACAAAACAAAACCACCACTCATAGGAAAGAAACTATTCCTAGATGAGGACTTAAAACAGTTTTTTTAAGGTTCGCTTCTGTGATTTATATGAAAAAAATGCACTGAGTAACCCATAAAATTCCCACAGTGTCCTAGAGTACAAATTTATCTCAAAGTACAACTTTTAAGTAGACAGCTAGAGAGTGTGACTAATGATTGAATCACCATTTGAGGCAAAATTGGCTGGTTCCACTTTGAAAAGGAAGCATTTTCGGGGCAATTTGTGCCAATGACATGGAAACATCTTAGAAAGCTGACTCTAAAATGCCTCTGGTGGTGGTGAAATACATTTCAAAATTTGTTCTAACTACTGAACCTAAGTGAACCAATGAATCTTAGATCATACGTGGAGCAATCTGTTTCAGACAAATGCAGAAGATATGTTGTGGAGCAGGAGGGAGCTGAAAAGCCTTCTGCTTGTGCCTTGGATCTTCTGGAGCAAAATGGGCTGTGTTATACAGCGAAGGAATCCTAGGAAAGTAGGAAGAATTGCTTTAGAGGCCAAGACAATCAGCTGCCTACCCTTATTCTATAACAGCATTTCTCAAGCTGGTGCTGTCCAGATGTCAGCCACATGAAGCTTGCTGGATGGGAATGGTAGGAACTGTAGCCAAAATACCTATAATTCTGTAGCATTTCCCAAACTATTTAAGTTTTTGATCATGTATAAAAGCACATCCGCCCATTACCACCTTGGCCAGATTTGCTTGCTTCCATTCTTCTCTGCTAACTTGCTCACTATTGCCTCCTTCCCTGCTGGCTGAACTAGTGGTCCATCTATGACCTACTCCACTGCCTCTATCATCTTTGTTGCTATGCTTCTTTAAAAAGAAAACTGGTAGAACATGACAATTGTGGAAGCAATCACTGCTTTTGCGGACAAGGAGGACACTGTGGCCTACCACCACTCCAGCTCATTTGTCGGCCACACCCAAAAGCAGAACCTAATTGATTCACTTGCCTGCCACTTATATTTCTAGGATTTTCTTTTAATGGTATATTCCTGCTGTAGCTGCCCTGACCAACTGGCCCATAAAGAAGCACATCATCACTACTAATAAACAATGTTGAGTCATCCTGGATTCAGTGTACACAAACTGAATCAATCAATCTGGAGACCTCCTGGATAAAGGGTTAGACCAGCATTCCCATCCGGCCCAAAGTGCACCACTGCCTTTTAGTCCATTTATTTACTGCACTTAATGTATTTGTTAGGGCTGCAGTGCTTATATAGCACCTGTCAGCAACTCTTTAAAATAGCTGGGTCTTTTCCAAGGATCATGCAGTTGCCCTCCTTGCTGCACCCAGAAAAGTTATGCCTGGTTTAGTAGCTAGACGTATTAAATTGCTGACAGGTGCTACATACACCCCCATACACACTCTTGTCCTTTCAAATCTGAAGTGCTGCATTAACCCGAGCATTTATGTCTCCTGCTGAGTCAGTACCTCAAGGTTTTAGAATAATCACACAGACAACAAAGTAGCAAATAGCTGCTCAAATCAAAATGGAAAGTTACTTTAAAACCCAACATAACCAGCAATTTCAGTATTTTTTGTTCTTCAGGTTCAAGTACAATAAGCAAAATTGTGGATATGGAGGCGAAAATGCTGACATCAGAATATTCCACAATTTCTATCACAATAGAAGGATTCCTTCCCGGAACTGCTCTCTCTCTCTCTGGAGCTGTTCCACTGGCTGCATTAGAGAAAAAGATGGACCTGCAGATGCAATCCAGCAGCTCAACCGAAGCATTGTGTGTTTGGCTTGAGACACTGGCTGCACTCCCCAACTCCACCTCAATTGGTCACTACAAGAATAACTGCAGACCTGCTATCAGAATGTCTTCCTCTCTTCCTTCCTCATCCCCCTTTCCTTTCTTTTTGCATTATGTCCGTAAAATTCTGTGTCTGTGGATAGAGCAACAATACTTGAAATTCTGTGGGTAATTATTCTATTTCTATAGCTATATGTTGCTTCATCTGTTGGAGGTGTGTTAGCGCTGAAGGCCCAGCTTAGGTGGCACCATCTAGCCAATCTTGGCTGAACTCAGAAAGCTAGCCAGGGTTAGTTGGTTATCTTAATAAGCATTGGATGCAAGACCCCCAGGAAATTCCAGAGCTTTAGGTTAGATTGGGAAGTCCAACAAACTGAAGGCAGCAGTGGGAAACCACTTCATGGGCATGTCTGTGAAGTTCATCTTGAGGGAGATTGCTCCTTGGTAGTACTGAGCATGCCAGCTATTCAGCTTTCACACTACATCTTTCCTCATTCCTCATTCCCTATTTGTACACAAACTGGAGTTTAGAACTTGAACCTGCTGCTGTTTTGGTCACACTTTACACACTGCTGGAACAATGGCTTGCACATGGAAAGCTGGAATGCTGTATGGAGCATCACACAGAAAGGTGCAACTGCCATGCCCAATGTTCCAGTTTGAGAAGACAGCACTATATTAAGATAGGATCTGTGGGTGAAAATGAGGTCTCCTGATTCAAGCAAGAGTTTTCTAGAGCTCAATCAGGAAGGGAGAACAGCTGCTGGCTCCTAAAAGTAATCAAATGCAATTCTCCCTCCCCTGTGCACCTTACATCTCTTATCTCCTCCTCCCCCCTGTGGAGCTTGGTGCATTTTCATTATGGAGAAGATACTAAGGCCTTTTTCGCAAGTCTTTGCTCCTAAATCATGGACCCTAACCCTAACCTGAAAAGATGGGAGTTATGGGGGATTGTCTGCAGGTCATCCTGCAGCACCACCTTCCATTCCAAAGCCCACCACCGCCTCCTAGATGCCCTTTTACCCCTGCATCCACCTCTTCCCTTTCTCCCCATCATGGTCGATGCACACCTCCCTTGTCCCTCCTGGCCTCATCCCATTTTGCAGTGCTTCTCCCCAGCAGTGCACCAGCCCTCCAGAATACGGAGGCGCCTTGCCCTGCAGCGCATTCTCATTGATGTCCAACCGCCGAGGAAATGGAGGTCACCCAGTTCCAAGCCTTCTCCTCCGTCCCCTTTCCATATAAATTGTCCTCCCCTTCCAGGGTTGGTGCTGCAGTTCGGTGACGCTTTGTCTTCCTTTGCAAGCTAGCCAGACGTCCACAGGGAAGGAAAACACGGCTTCCGAGCGTGTGTTTGGCTTTAACGATCCAAGGCCTCGAATCTACCGGAGGATCGCCGCAGCCTTGGCTATGAAATGCGAGGCAGAACCGCAGCTCAGCCCGCTTCCAGGACCAAGGCCGCGCCGTTCCAGGAAGTGTAGACTGGAGATCAGGGGCAGGGGAGAGACACCTGAGCGCCGCCGGCCCCCCCTTCGCCCTCCTACGTGGAGGTTCGGAAGCGAAGCGACGGCATGGCCAAGAAGGCCACCGGGTTGCTCCGCTCGGTAGCGCAGATGTCTGGCTTCCGCGGAGGCCTCATTTCACGCAGCTCCGTGGTCTCTCTCGAAAGGGGCGCACGCAGCTCTTCAGAGACACTGTGCGAGGCTGTGGCGGCACGACTGGGAGCCCCCCTTCGCAGCCGACTAGTCACGCAGCTGGCCGCTCCCCGCGCAAGAGGGACGCAGCCTCGCAACTCCCACGTGGCAAAGAGGGCGAAGGTCGCGTGCGCGTGTCCTGTTCTCCGGGCGTCAAAGCTGGGGCTGTGAAACTCTCGCTCTTGGATTGTCCAGGTAGATAGGGACGGGACCGAATACTTCCACAGCTTTGCATGGACAAGCCCCCCACTTTCAGACAACCCCCACCCCCCAGATTTGCTAGCGACCCTGCTTCCCCCGGGTCTTGACCCAGAGTTTGAGAACCTCCGGCTTACAGAACTGCTCCAAGTATTAGTAACGTTTGAAGCAATTCTGATTTCATTTTAAAAAGGAAACCGTTTAAAGAGAAACATTCTTTTTTAAAAATGGATATCCTCTTGCGTGTGGGTAGTATGTGTAGGTATCATCTATCTCTATAATCTCAGCAGATTTCCAAAAAATCAAAACCCACCTTCCCCGAATTCCACTAACACATTCTAAGGAAACGCTTCCTTGGTGGATATACACTGGGGTCTAATACAAGCCCTTTTAGAAGGTATTCAGATTTATTAGCGATCGCCGGATACGACCACAAAGCAACCCAAGGAAGAAAATGAACGGATTTCCCACTGAGTCATATTTGGATATGATCCAGTCGCCGTTTGAATAAGCAGATTGCTTCATTAAGAAGCCCAGACTCCAAGCAAACAGAACAAAGAAAAAGGTTGAAGGGCCCCTTGTAGTAGTAGGAGGAGCAGTGAAGATGCAACGTCAAGTCCATTCTGTTAGCAGCCCAGCAAAGAATACCATTGTTTACCTCATATAATAACCAGCATCCTAGATATTTCCACATTTACCATTCACTGATTCTGGGCAGAATTTCTGAGTTTGTCATTCACAAAACTATCACTTCTGAGAAAAGGATTCAAGTAGATGGAGGGACACAACTCATTTTTTTTAGAAGTTGAAATTCATAATACAGAGCTCGCTATTAAACCAAATTGCAGAACTAAAAGACTTCTCTCTTCTCAAAACAATAGAGATAAATAATCCAATGTGATACAAGACAGCTGCTATGCTAAGGATGTGCTAAAATTGTTTGATTGTGGTTAGAAAAAACTCACATGCTGTGTTGTATCCCTCTTTTAAAAGTCAGTTGTGAAGACAATGCCACTGACCATCAATATTAAGAAAAATGGTTGAAATTTTACAAATAGAACAAGAATTCAGCTCCTTTTCTTTTTCCTAGTTTTTCAAGTTAAAATATTTTAAAATTATTTGAAGCGTACAATAATTTATTTTTAAATTGGTACCTGTGACATGAAGTGAAATCATGTAATGAAATGACTGCTGCCTAAAAATATTACTCAATATTTCTCAATCCTGATTTTTAATATATATAAATAATACAAGTAACGATTTATATGTTTCCTCACAAATTTGTAATGAAATGGGACTATCTTATATTTTTTAAAAAATGTGGTTTGGGAAAAAGAACTCAGAGTGCTGTTTGTTTTTTGCAGTACCATATATTCTGGGGATTTCTTAAAGGGATACCATTTGATACTATCAAAATATGCCTTAAGGTGAGTGTCATGCAGGCTGATGGTGATGGGAATTGTAGTCTAGTATATCTGGAGAAGGTTGGGGAAAGCTGCTTCACATCTTGGTTGGGAATATCATCATTTGTCAGACATTGTCTATGTCATAGCAAAGTCCAGAATGCCCTTTTTGAAGGGGGAAAAAAAATCCAAAACATTGTTTGTTACATTTAAGGAGGCTCTCAGATTTTTTTGTAAGAGAATAGGATTTGTATTATTAAAGAAATTGCTTGAAATGTATTTTAATCATGCACTTTTCTAATTTCAGGTTTTGAGCTTCATTATTGATAGGCCAATTAATGTAGCAGTCAGATTCACTTATCCTTATTTTTCCAGTTTCCTTGGGGTAATAGGTGAGCCATAAGTATTACATGGAAATTTATAAATCCCAAACGTACATCTTAAAGTTGATATAAAAATAAAACTGCAGTGAAATATTTTTAAATTATCAGTAATTGTTTTTTACAAAAACCTTAAATAACAATACTTTTTAAAGAATATTTAGCCATCAAACAGAACATATTAACCCCCTTGTAATTCCAAGCTGACAAGCTAAACCCATTTATTTATTTAAATTTATTATGGCCAGCCCTTCCAGGAGACTCTTTATGAACATTTTTATGATTTTAGATTAGTAGCTATTGTTTCATTTAACAACAGTAAATCAACCCTGAACCAATATTGCTTATTTTCTTATATATAGCATAACCAAGATTAGGGTAACAGGTATACCTGCTTTTAATGTTAATCGTATATGAATGTCCCACTGAAGCAATTTCAGCCCTAGATGCAGGTTGCTGTTGCTACAATCTTTAAAACCTATTTCCTTGTAACAGATTCATACAGTGCCATCTACTGGATATAACAGATTATACAGATTTTATTTAGTTCCCTCACAACTATAAAACTTGTTCTTGCAGACAAACTTCCACACCCCCATGTCTACCAACATCATTTTTAGAGAGAAAGAAGTCAATCACTTTGAACTTCTGGATGCCAATAAAAATTCAAATTAGTGTCAACTGAGTCCTGGGTAACAGTTGGCAGGGAACTAAATAGAGACCTCCAAGGGCTGCTAAATTATTAACTGAAGTGTCATCAGAGGTTAATCACATTTCATTATTGGGTTGCATTTGAACTAGTGACCTAAAGGATAAAAATTAAGTTTCCCTCCATTTACTGATTGCTCTATTCATCTAGACAACTTTTACTCGGCATATTTTGATTTGAGAATGTAAGAGCTTTCCCAAGAGCTTGAAGAAACAAGAAGAAAACTTTTAAAGTTACATCCTCTTCCCATTGATCAATGCCCTGGATATATTTATTTCAGGTGTAGAAATGTTATGCAAGTATCAGTTGAGCCGTGTTTTGTGCCATGCTAGCAGCAAAAATAATAACAGAGGCATTTAAGTTTTCTATGTTTATCATAATAATTGACAGGACCCAAAATGTCAGTATTACTCCCCCAATATCCTGTTGTGACCTATTTTGATATGATAGAAGAGTACCCCTTTAAGAACCTGCCAAGATGACCCCATGCTGAGAGGCCTGAATGAAAGGAATTTATATTTAGTTTTTCAAGTAAATGCTCCATCCTTAACAACAACAAAAAGGAACATAATTGGTGATCAGTAACCCTAGTGATTTTCAAATATCCTCCACTTTTTATAAAAATGATACTGTTAGAAAGGAACAACTTAGGAGATACAGATGACCTCTTTCCATTCTCTCTGCAGTGAACTCTGAACAAATCTAAAACCCAAACACTCTGGCAAGTGATAATAAGCAATTCATTTAATGAGGCTGAGTGTATAGGTTTTATTTGGAATTCCCTGTGTGAGCGTTGTCTTCCTCTCTTTTTCTGGTACTTCTCTTTCTAATAAACTGGCGTCATTGGTTTGATAAGAGAATTTCTCATTAAAACCTTTCCTAGCCTTTTTTCAAAGTTGGAACAAGGTTTATTTTACTTTTATCAACAAATTTATATAGCCGTCCATCTACCAAAAGGAACTCTAGGCTGAGATATAAACTTTGTTAAGGTCTATATTTCTGGGCTTTGGGTAGGAAGTTACAAATACCTTTGTATTTTTTTTCATAGGTCTGGAGTAAGTGGAGAAGTCATCAGTAAAAATGTCCCAAACCTTCCAAGCTGTACAGACTAGAGTGTGTCCAGAAGTCCAGCCTGACTGGCAGTAATCTAGGATAAGTATATTTTACTGGGGAATCCTTGGAAGAATTACTAAAATTGCTCCCTAACTCTGTAAGATCTATTAATCATACAAGCTTACTGTAATTCCTTTGGTGAGAGATACACTCAAAGACTGCATCTTACCCAAATGCAATCACAAAAGTATGCAATCTAACACCTTCCTCAGTTTATCTGCAGAATTAAAACAATGTTGTGATGCAATATTTTAACAATAGCTAGCTAACCTTGGCTGATCCCCAAAAGTTAAGTAGAATACACAAACTTAAATGAGGTTGAATGAAAAGTATTACATCCATACAAAGCCAACAGATAGCCGTTCTGACACACTAGAAACTCTGCCATATTCTTTAGCACCCGTTCTTTCATTTCATTAGTGGGAAGTTATTAGAAAAGGTTGTGTTCCTACTATTTGTAAAATGGAAGCCTACAGTGAATACTCCTCAGTGCACTTTACACAATGCACCATTATTGAGTTTTTTATTTCCAATTTACCTCAGGGTAAAATTCACTGCCAAATGCAGGTTGTTTATGGTGATGACTGTGTTGACATAAGTACTGTGCATCACTGGCCAAAAAATGTAAAGATGGTCAACTGGGAAGTGCTGATTTGGGTGATCAAGAACCAAGGGGACTGCCTGTTAACAGCAACCAACGAGTTTCACGTCAGAAAGGTTGATGGACCAATTAAGGACAAGCAGTGAATCACTCAAAAGGAAATTGCTTTTAAGTTTTGCATTTCACAGAAACATGCTGGTCACATTATTAATGTTCTTCAATATCAGAAAGTTTGTGTGAGATGGGTCCCTTGCATACTGACGACAGAGATGAAAGATTCAAGAGTTGAAATTTGCCAGCAATTGTTGCCACATTATGAGAATGAAGGTGAGGAATTTCTTCATAGCATTGTGATGGAGGCAATATTTGACATCATCATTATGACCCAGAAACAAAACATCAATCCATGGAATATCATCATAAAATTTCATTTATGAAAAAAAATTCAAAACCCAAGTTTCAGCAAGAAAACTCATGGTTACAGGGTTTTTTTAATGGAGATGGTATTATTCACATGGATTTCCTTGAATGTGGCACCATTAGCAACTCAACATTCAAAACCTTGAAACAACCATTAAGCAGCATTTGGAAACAACAAAGAAATTTTGCTACAACATGATAATGCTAGGTGTCACACCTCACAACCACCCATGAGGCCATTGCGAAGTTGGATCTCACCATCTTACCACATCACCATATAGTCCAGATATGGCACCATGCAATTTCTTCCTTTTCCCCAAATTGAAGGAATACCTTTGTGGACATCTGTTTAACTCAAATAAAGAGTTGGAAAGGACTGTCAGGATCCAGTTGAAGAGACAAACTGGAGTTTAATGATGGCTTTCAGAAGCTTGTCCATCATTAGCAGTAATGTGTAGCAAATGGTGGTTATTACATGGAAAGTACATACAGGTAACAAAAGAGCTATATCAAGAATTATTTTCTTGTTTCATTTATTAAAATATCCCTACTTAAAGTTATGGAGGTGGAGGCATTACTTTTTTTTAACTCTTATCTCCTATATATTTTTAAATAATGGGGTTTGCTACTGAGCTTGCTCAGTTTTAAGTGCATCCTTCAACATGCTGCTCCTGCCCCAGCATGGCCTTTGATCCAAGAGACAATGAACACCCTTGATTTAAATGGAAGTCCTAGCAATTTCTGTTTATTTAAATAGAGTAATACCACTTTGTTTTGGGATATAACAAATTCTACCAGCAGATGCCCATAAGTATTGAAATCATAAGAACCATTAAACATCAGAGTGTGAAAGGAATCCACATGTAGTAAAAAAGTTAGAATGTGCCAATCATAGTATAATCAACAGGTTCATAGCCTCACTCCCTGCTCTATATTTGGAGGTTTTTTAAAAGGGTTTTATGAAAAATTCTTTAATTCTATTCTTGTAGCTAACTAAGTCTAAAAATTATTTAAGAAATATTTTTTTAAAATAGTATCCTTATATGGAAACTGAGCCATTCCCTCATGTAATAAAACTCAATTACATTTCACATTACATTCAGTTATTCAAAATTAGTAAACATGCCAATGCCATATAAGAAAATCTGAAATCTAATCATCTTTAAAATCTGAACACACTACACTCCAACATTAAGCTTGTTATTTGTAATTCCAACTAAGTTGGATGGCTCGTACCCCCACATGTACATGTGTATAGGACTATAATGTTACAATATAGTCCTACGCAGGTCTGCTCAGAAATAAATTCCACTGAATTCCCCAGGGACTTATTTTCAGGAAAGGATGCATGGGATTACACTTAGTCTTACTGTTTTGAAAGGAAAAATAAAGCTCCAGATTTATGTATTATTGTCATGCTAGGCCAGAATAAAACAACTTGAGGAAACATATTTGGCTATAGTACACACACTACACAAAACTTTCCCCCTGAAAATCAGTGGCATTCCAAAGCTGTTTACTTTGGATTAGACAATGCCCTTAACACATCAGTGTGCTAAATTCATTTATTTTGGCTTTATTAGCACTGAATATTAAACTAAATATTAACAGATTTTAAAAAGACATTCAAGAATGAGAAATGACAACAAAATAAATATATTTCTGCCAGATACACTTGAAATTGTTGTAGCAAGCCCAAAACTGAAGTACTTATTTCTGTTGAGAATAATCCAACCATCAGTTGGGGCTAAGTTCCATTGAAATGAACAAGCAAGAGTCCTGTGGCACATTAAAGATTAACAAAGTTACTGTTGAACAATCAAGGGGCCCACAATATCTTACCTTATAAAAGAACTCTTGTCTTTAAGGTATCTGAAGATTCTGCTATTTTTTGCTACACTTAACACATCTGCTTTTCTGGAAACCTAAGTCAACAATGTTAAAGCATTTGATGGAAATTTGGTTGCCATCGGACTCTACCTATGTTTAGCTTAATTATAGTCCAGTTTGTCCTTTAGGACTGATGATATAAAACATTACGTTCTTTTTTCCCTTATTTATTAACATTTACCAGACTCTACCACGTTAATCCTTTTGGTGCTTTAGACTTATTTTTCCCTTTGACACGCTTTGCCTTCAGCTTTTTTCTCTGCCTGGGATTCATCCATACTGGATACTGTCCATGTTGATCTAGGAGAGTTTTCTGATTTCTTTTGACATCCATGTCCATCTTACTTCCATCTAGGAAAAAAGCACATAAACAAGTGAATTGCTCTATCAGCTGAAAATAGTAGAGTTAAAAGTTAAGAAAAAAGAAATTGGGGAAACAAAGTAGCAACATAGGTTATTCTAATACTGCTAGGAGGGTGAAGAGCTAGGAAGTGAGGGAGGGGGTAAGAGAGTGCATGTATGGTTGTATTATAAATACTATGATGGTTCTTAAAAACAGTTTCTAAAGTGTTAGCTATGATAGTCTGTTGTACATATGACAAAACTGAAAGTCTAAAAAAAAAATATGCAATTGAAAAAAGATTCAATAAGAAACAGCCAAGTGAAAAGATCATTCTGTTTATAAACAAATGTTGTCTCCTTCCTTGCTTTCCACTATCTATCTTCACAAGAATAGGCATCAGTCTCACAGGTAATCCTTATAGGCTTCTACCTGATTCTCATTAACAGCATTGTTGTTCAACTCCCAGAATTTCCAGCTAGCCTAATCTTTGCTAGGAGATGTTCAATGGAAGAATAAGATCCATGCATCACAACATAGCCTATTTCTGCTATAAATATGCCATCTGGTTACTGCAAAGGTGCATTCTCTGTCGACTCACAGAAGTAGTCTTATCTGTATAGTGATACTGGATGAATTTTTCAAAAGGGAGATGTTGAAAGACAAAGCCAAGGGAAATATGAGAAAAAGTAGCACCAAAGGAATGAAAAGAAGAGGGATATACAGTACCATGATTCCAATTTTTCAGAGCCCATTTGCTGCATACCTTAGAGCAGTGTCTCCCAACTAGGCAACTTCCAGATCCATGGACTAACGCTCAGAATTCTCAGCAATGCCCATGCTGGCTAGGGAATTCTGGAATTTGAGGTCAACACATCTGGAAGTTGCCCAGATTGGGAAACATTGCCTTAGTGCCGTATCTAACAATCATCTGACTCACCGTCTGATTCCTTTTTCTCTATGATTTTCTCAGCAGGAACAACAGTTACTACTTCCTTCACTTCGTCCATTACAACATCACTGTTGGTTTTCAGGATGCTCTGCAACCTAGCAAGTTCCTTGGAGGCATTTTTCTTTCTCTTCTCTGCTCGCATTTTTCTCTTCCATTTGCTCCTTAGACTTTTTGCCATTTCTGTTTGCTTCTATAAATGGGAAAATTATGCATAGCACAATTATGACAGAACAGAACAAGTTACTGGGCTTGTGTAAACAGGAATTTGTCCTCAGAAATCCAGCTACACCAAGAATATCTCCTATTTATGCACAGGATCAAAAATGTATTTCCTCAGAGACACTTCTCAACAAACAATATCCATCTTTGTTTAAAACATAATTGGGCTCAGTTTGGAAACAAATTTGCATCCACGGCTCCTTACTTGCAAATAATACTTTCCTGCTTTCCAAAGCTACACAGTAACCTAGAAATACAAAACTTTTACAAATACTCCTGAACTTCCCCCACAGCAGAAGCAATCTATGGGAAGCCTTCTAAAGGGCTAGCCACCACTGCTCATTTGTCCCTCTAAACCAGTGTTTCTCAGCCTTGGCAACTTTAAGATATGTGGACTTCAACTCCCAGAATTCACCAGTCAGCTGGCTGGGGAATTTTGGGAGTTGAAGTCCACATGACTTAAAGTCGCTAAGGTTGAGGAACACTGCTCTAAACTCTGGCGGTTCTGAGCAGTCAAGTTAAAATCGCGGCTCATTATTTAGGATAAAAATGCTAAGTATGAAAGGTTTCCTGGGTGTCCCCCATCCAAGGACTTCTGCTTAGCTTTTCAAGATCAGCCATGGCCAGATAAATGCTGTCACCGAGCTGGTCTTATTAGTTGGAAGCTACTCCATTTCTTCTGGGCCAGTGTGTCAGACCTAGTTAGTCCTTGGGCAGGAGACCACCAGGGAATCCCAGGGCTGTGGGTTAGCCTAAAGAGTTGAACCAACGTCCTAGACGAGGCAACGGTAAACCACTGCCGTGCCGTTGCCGCTGGGCGGACACGTTCAGAAAGGGATCAGAAGTTGAAATAAACTCGGAGACTTGACTTATGACAGGGACCTGGGAAGCCTGGCCTCCAAGTACGGCAGCTACTCTAGAAAATACCGCCCCACGCCCTTCCTCCGGTACCTGAGCACGCGGCGCTAGAACTCACAGCTCCCCACGTTCGCTTCCACCGGATGTGACTACAACAAGCGGGGAGCCACCGCGCTTCTTCCGGATTTGCGTAGGCTTCTGCTTCCCCGCGAGGCCGATGAAGGAGTCGCGTCCTTCTCGCGCTGTCCCACAGAGCCCCCTTGCGAGCTCCTCCGGTATTACTCAAAGGGACCCGCTGTAGCCTGGGGGTGGGGCCGACCGGCCGGCTGGGCTCTCGGAGCTGCGGGGCTGTAATCGTGGGCGTCTCCTCCGGAATGAGCCAGGAGGCAGTCCTTCCCCGGCAGTTTCTCGAGCAATACCCCCGCGGTTCTCACGGGCCAGGTATGCTAAGCGGAAGGTTTGGCGGCTGTGGTGTGCGCGGCTTTCCTTTGGAAAAAGGAGCCGCGTTCATTTTTCAGCCTGTTTTAGCTGTGATTCTTCAAATCGTCCAGCTTCAAAGGAAAGGTCTTTGGCCGCGCTGTCTGGTAATAACCGGAGTGGTGGTTCAACTCATCTCGAGAGCAGAAAGAGGTAAAGCTTTCAGCCAGCGGGCAGGAGGAGCGAGCTGGCGAGAAAAGCAGGTGGTCCCAAAAAGTCATAACTTCAACTTCCTACAAATGTTGCCCGGTTGAGTAACGCTGATGACTGCATTCAACAGAGCTTACATACATTATATACCTACGTAACCAGTCTTCTGGAAAGGAAAATTACGAGGTGACATTTCTGGGCAAAGCTCAGAAGTTATGCTAGCATCCAAGTCTTAAATTCTGATGGTGCACTTGGAAAATAAGCCTGGGTTTATGGTATTTAACTGTTTTATGGTATTTATAGCTCACTGCTATAAATGAATGTGTAAAGTTTCCATAGCATTTTTTAAATTTATTTTTTAATTTAGAGGATTTGCATGCTGCCCTGGTCCTTAACAGCTCACAGAATTAAAACAAACCTTAAAACATTATTAAAGCAATACACTTAAACAAAACAAGGTGATTAGAACAGTAGAAAATTCTGGGCAAACAACTATGCTTTGAACCTTCTAAATAGTAAAAAGGCTAAATTGTAAAAAAATCCACAATATGGTGGAAAACAGAAATAATCGTAGATAGCAAGTGAAACCCCGGTAGAACCTGCAGAAGAGGCTCTACTGGTGATCTAAGAGTCCAGGGCAGACTACTTGGGAGTATGTAAGCAGCTTGGTCCTAAGCCATGAAAGGCTCTTTACACCATTGCAAGCATCTTGAATGGGGCTCAGAAGACAACTGACAAACTCACAAGCATTTTTTGGTGGGACTTTCAACAGATACCTGTGCTGCCATAAGCTGGATGAATTGTGGAACACCTTCAAGGGCTATCACAATCCAATTATGAGTCACAAAACCAGGTCTTTCTCCTCAATGCAGGAATGCAACTGTTGTATCAGCCAAAGCTGATAAAAGACTCTCACTACAACTGAAGTAGCATGGCTGTCCACATCTGTAATCACTGTAACCACAGCCTGGAGGTTTTTTGGAAGTTAAGATAATTTAAGTCCTGGTATGTCACAATATTTTTTTTTGGAAGCTAAGCTAACATAAGTAAATCCTACTATGTCATAATTTTTTGGGAAGCTACGCTAATGTGAGTTCTACTATGTTACAATAATTTCCTGTAACTGTGGACTATAAGTGTTACTGAATTGGGATCTTGTAATTAAAAGTTGAACTCTGAAAACAGATTTTAAATAAAGGCTTGAAACAACTTTTGACTTTGGAACTACTTTTAATAACAGGCTGAAACTAAAAATAAAATAGGGTGACACTGATAATTAAAATATCAGTGAGCAGAGATCTCTGAGATTGCACTCTTCAGGATATTCACAATTCAAATAATTATATAATACAACTTTTTCTGCTTAACAGTGACAAAACTATCTACATGTCTTACAACAGTAGAAAACAAGGAAACAGAGAAAAAGGCTCACATAATGAACATTTCATTAAAATTTATTTTTATTAGTTTTTAATATCCTGCCAGAACAGCAGACGGAATGTAACTAACTTTGCCAGCACTTCACCGTAAAAGAACCATCTAATAAATATTCTACTGCACAAAAATATTTCATCTCTTATAACAATTAGTGAAAAGGCCCTGAGAATGGATTCAAATAAGTTTCAAACTTTTTCTGCATTCTAAAAAGGACCTAGAAAAAACATGATATGGTATTTCTGTACTTTCTAAAATTTCAGAACAGAAAAAATCTTCTGCCAATCAATTCTTTATATGCTTACTTTAATTGATGATCCATCTTCAGAATCTTCCCATAAAAAGTTATTTCTCCCTATACAAGGTTTTTCCTCCCCAAATACAGCATACTTGGAAGTACAGATACTTAACGAGAAAAAGTAGAATTATGTTGTAGGATCAGTCCTTCAAATTAAAATGCTCATAAAGTTTTTCACAAATGAACACCAACAATAGAATTTTAGCTTATTTAAAGTTTCAATGTTCAATAGTGAAATCAAGGAGACTTATGCTATCCAGCCAGCAACAACTGTGAATCTCAAAGGACACATCTGTGGCAATTACTGCAGGAATAAAATAGAATTTTAATAGTACTTATTGGCACAAATGGAAGTTGATGAGCAAGTCTTTCAATCAATACTAATAATATGCAAATGGATGGAGCAAAGCCTTTGCCAAACAGCCAAGATGCCTGTAATATATAATTAACTGATCTCAGAATAGACTCAGTAAGAATCAGCTCTCTAAAACACTGTTTATACAGAAAACACTGAAGCCGGCACAGAATGTAAAAACAGGCTTCAATCTCAAAGTAGATGGCAGATTTTCTAGGTCTTAATTAACTCTTTAGATACCACATATGAATTATCTTAAACTTTGAATTAAAATTCCCAATTACTTTTTATTAAATGCTTCTAGCAAACGCAGCAGGTGCAAAAACAGATTGAGGATGTCCAAATAAAGGTTGATTGCAGCCAGTATGTATTCTTCAGGGGAGAGTTTGTGCATTAATAGATGAGTGTCATAGATGATAAATCCACAGAACAGAAATGCTCCTGCAGCAGCAAATACCAGCTCTACTACTTCATTATTGAAAAAGAACTATAAACAAGAACAGGGAGCAGATAAATGCAGGTTCAGTGTAATTTTTTTTCATAAAAGCATATTAATATCACAGTTAACTATAATGGAACTATAATTAAAACTCTGAAAAATGATTTTTTTTAATGGAGAAGTTGAGTACACCAATTCATATTTTTGTGTAGATTACACAAAATTATACAGTACTGTGCAAAAGTTTTAGACAGGTATGAAAAAATGCGGTAAAGAAAGAATGCTTTCAAAAATATATATTGTAATTGTTTATGTTTATCAATTTACAAA